CAGGTTACTTTCCACTTTTGTTCTAACCTTAGTCAAAAAGATTAACCTCTTTTTCACCATTTTCCGCACCTACAAAGGTATGAATATCGTATCTAACATTTTTATAAGTAAAATAATGCTGTTTTTTAACGAAGGGCATGTTTTTTTATTGTATCACAAATATGTTTTAGTTATGTGTTAAATGGGGAAAAATACATAAACAGATTGTTGATCATTAGTAATGGTTAGCACGAGTCCATAAATAAATGTACATCAAATTGTAAACAAGCACCAAAAAATATCATTAACAGAGAAAGGTACATACTGATGTACATACATACATAGTAAGACGGTTATGCTGCTTTTTTAGAGATAACAATTTTAGATAATGAGTTATTAGTGTGTTTGCAACTTTGAAGAACTTGTCCATTATTGTAACATCAGCAGCTTAGACATGATAAGAGAAGTGGCGGTACTTGGTGCCACCTGGTAAGTTTCCAGAAGTGGTAGAGGAATAGCTGTAGCCGCCGGGTCCAGCCCCAGTCGTACTAGTCCGCTCTGTGCTATAGTTGTATGAACCACCTGGACCGCTACGCGATGTTTTTTCCACGGTAGACGAATAGGTTGAGCGCTCCGGTCTGGAGTATGGGTTGCTCGAGTCGTAACTGCTATTCTGAACAGTTGACTTCGCATTGTACGAGTAGTCCGATGAGGCGCGGGTGCGGTGCGAACCAGGTCTGTCCGTGCACAGGTCTAAGCGTGGAGTCTATAAATTCCGATTTGAATATTTTTAAATAAAAAAATATTGGCAACACAAGCAATTATTTTAAAAATAATATAATTAATTTCTTTCCAAAACTTCTTATGTTTACCATATCCATATGCATGATATTGGAGATAAATTATGCAATAAGTTTATAACTTCATTTTAACAAGGGCAAAAGATACCCTTTAAGATACATCTTGAAGTTATGTCCACTTAAGAGAAATTGAAACATGTTCGAGCTAAATAGTTCTAACAGAATTCTCTAGTTATATACGAGTATAAATAATCATCAGTGTATAAGTGCTTGTGATGTACAATAGTATAATTATAAGACGTTGGATACATGTGTTTTATAATGATTAGTGGGTTAATACAAGGACAAGTTCATATTAGACTATTCTACAAGTCATCTCGTTATTTATGAAAATTACCTATTTTTTTTATTAGTCTACGATGTCGTTCGGAAATGATACTTTTTTTTTGGTTATTAGTAATAGTACTTAGTGCACATTGCGCCCGACTTTTCATTTCGATACGTTTCCCTTCGAACCGGAAGACTCTCCGAGGCAGCTCGGTGCAAGCGTGGCAGTTGACTGTCCAGACTATCGCGAGAAGTGCGGGCAGCCGTATTTCCACCGGCTTCAACGGTATCTATATGTTGTCGCACCAGGCTCAAAATCCGAGTACGATTCTTATCGCGCGTTGAGACATATGGCTCAATGGGCTCATAGGCAATTTTATAATTTGGCTTGATTGCAGCTTTATTGATTGGGTCAAGTATGAATCTCTTTCGCTGCTCATGTTCTGCTCTTCGCACTCCGAAAGCTGTCACCGGATCGGAGATGAGTGAAGGTCGAGGCACAAATGGAACTTTCTCCCAGTCAATTGGTGTTCTGTTTGTTCTCTGTAATTCCCAAAATTCCACAAATCGTTTATAATTTCTAGGACAGCCAAGCCAAGGTTAGAGTGCACATGGAATATTTGACGGCATTCCGCAGGAAAGACAAAAACATCTTATCAATAAGGCTCATATGTACATACATGTGCAATTTACATGCCTGTTGTGGGTGATATTAATATATTTACAAGAAGATTTATTATGCGTATTCAATCAAGTATTATCCAAGATATGATGCACTACATTTGACAGTACATGGTAGATTGTGTCTTGCTATGGTAGTTAAGAATGTTCAGCAGGATGTAATTATTATGTATTCGGTGCAGCATTTAAATGGGTAAAATAACAAACAGGTAAACACATTTACGAATATATATTTACATATGTATATAGGACATACCTACAAATAATTCAGTGTATATGTGTATATCAATATTTTGTGAAGGATTTCATATCCATTAGCACTCGTGAGTAATTAAACTCGTACATTCATATGTACATATATGTATGTATGTACATATATCTATATAAGTATGCACACAGGTAAATAATCGTATGACTAATGTATGGTTTTCTGCAGACATGTAAATTATGAACAGTTTATTGCTACTGTTTGATTTCTAGCTCCTCCAATGGTTTTGGCTTATATATATGTATATTGTGGAAATCAGAAAGATATTTTTAGGTCTAACGAAACCCGAAATGCGCGCGCATCTAGTATTACACATACGAATAGCAAAAAATAAGGCGGCTGCGAACAAAAACAATCGAGAGAATTTTGTTTGTATATGTTGATTCATCAAATATTTGTGTGTGTTTGGAATTCCACTTGCCTATTTTCTGCACATTAGCAGGCACAATAATAAATTCTTTGCCTCCAAAATTCGTAAAATGTGCTTGCACATTATATATAAAACATGAGCAAGGTACGGATCACGAAAAAAATGCATAGATACATACTTAGGTACATATTTTCATACACTTTTTTGTATTAATGATTAATATATACAGAGTCCTCTTAATTCATTATAGAAATGTAATAAAATGTGCTTAGGAACCCATTTTATTTACTCATGAAATCAAATTTAAAGAACAATGGTAGAATATTTTGTAAGCACATATAAGTATAGCATATAGTACATATTTACAAGCCACCTTGTCATTATATAGTTTTATAAACTAGGACAAGGTAAAAAATTAGTAAAACTGGAACAGGATTGTACCTTTACTATATTGGTAGATACGATATTCATAATTGTGCGACACTTTGAAGTGGCGACTGATTTTTAATTCAAACGTGTTTCAATTTCTTAAGTAAAAAAGCTTCTAAACAGAAAACATAGACTACAATAAGTGGGACACAAGCTTTTAAAAAATTATTGTTTCACATATTCGGGTGTGTAGCTGAATGTATTATAACTTTTCAAACTTATCCGCAGCGTTTTTCAAAATATTTGTTATCAAAACTAACAATTTAGCTTGTATGCATTAAATTTAAAATCTTACGCACAGATTAATTTTTCAGTTATTTTCAATACTTAGGAACTACACATCCGAATGTTAAGTAATCTTTTTCTTTGTTTATATCGTATGGCTTACCGTAACGGCGTAAGAAGTTGTCACCGGTCTAGAGGAATAATTTCTGCGAGTTGTAAATCCACTTTCGTAAACCATTTTGTTTTTTTTTTATTAAAAAATTGTATTGTTAAATAGATTGTTCGTTATATTTAGTTCGAATTTATCGTCGTTTCGTCTTGTTCACTTGACGCCCGCTCGAGTTGATCTGTCCGAAAATTTCATGAATCAGTTGCTTATAATTTTTCGTTTTCAAAATTCTTTGTAGCCTTCAATATTTTTCTGACTCTATATCTCTTTTTCTATTTATCTCATGGATATTTATTTTTGGCATTACAAAAATCTCTCGCCGCAAAGAGCGCGCAGTTTAAACATTCGTACACTGTGTTGGTGTACTCGAGCACATACATTCATACATACATATGTACACATCATGTACATACTCGTCCATTCTTTATGTATTTTCAAGGGATTGCACTCATATACTAAATAAATAATATTAAAAGCATATTATTAATCAATTTATTAATAGTTAATAGTTCCAAAATTTTGTTTTTGTGTGTTTTGGTGTTAGTGGCTTCCGAAGAGTCGAACAAAGCATACATATGGATGCCACACTTACAAGAGTTCGCCAAATATGCATGTAAATATGTCATGTGGCTAATATATTCAATGCTCTTCGTTTATTATCCATTACATATGACGATGGCTGCTGTTGAATACTATGCACGGTATTTAACTAATTTCTATCACGGTTCTATCACACTCAAATAAACAATGTCATTTGTTAATAATTCATTTTTTAGCTGAACTTTTCGTTATATGTAGTTCCTAGCGCTGCTCAATTTTAGAATTTTGTGAAACCCCAAAACTAATTAATCACTAATACATTTGAATACCCCATGCAAGAACAATTCATTAAACTACATTTTTTAAATGGTGCTTTAAGTTACAAACAGACATAAAGGTAATAGCTAAGGTAATGTATCTGGATCTACACTGTAGACTACACAATTAATAGTCAGCGCATTTCACTGGTAGCCAAGTCAAGTTTGTCCAAGCCCTATTGATTTTCTGTCTGTCTGTAGGATCACCTGGAAATCTCAGACTATGCTATTAAGTTTGTACGATAATAATATAAATACTGTATGGGGTGGGTTTAAAACATCAGGATCAAATCATAGGACACCTGAGGGTATAATCTGAATATGTAAATATGTATGTATGTACTGAAATCCGTTGGCTAATTATTCATAAAATACTAATATGTAAAAATGTGTGTATTTGCATACATATGTATGTATGTACATACATATGTACATGCCTGAAAATGGGATAAAAATACATTTTGTTTTCCAACAAAATTGAGCAAAGATTTTCTCATGCACACTAACACAAAAATGGCTTGTATTTGTGAATAAACATACGTACACTCAAAAGATTCAATGGCATGTGTGGGTGTCTCAGACATTTTTAATACAAAAATCAACGGAAAATCTCAAAAACAATTTTTAATGACATTAACCTTAAAAAAAGCCTATGAACGACTAGTAATGCAAGGTTACAAAAAGAATGCTAAATTGCCCACTGAAAGTGGCGAAAGTGGTCTAAATTCAAATGCTCAATGTATGTACATATATATGTATGTACTTACATAAGTACATACATACATACATATAAACTAGGCACTGGGGTGTTATTTTCTTTTCAGTTAATAAAGTCAATAAAACATTATTAAGAAAGTGTATGGTGTTGGACTAGTAAATTAGTAAGACGCCATGGTTTGGTAACTCAATAATTTTAGATATTTATCCTCATGTAATGAAGCATTCTTAATATATTCATTATGTTCCGAAATTTCCGCAACGAGGTACGCAAGGCACAGTACAACATGGAGAGCACATCCTACAGTTGGTTCGCGGACAGCAATGGAAGCTATAACGAAAAACATATTTAATACAAAAGTGTCTTTTAAATTGAGCTGCATATATACAATCTGGAAAGATCTCGCTGCTCCAATTGGGTACGAAGGATATCACACGGCCGAACTTCATCGCAGCGACTAGACCTGAGATACCTCTGCATATATACCTCAGATCTACTTGAGGGCCCGTCAACCTGAATGTTTTTCGACCCCTTGATACCATGCCGTACCCCGGACTTGCTCTCAACCTTTAACTTCAAGGCACTTTGACTGGAAGAGCGCCTTTTCTTCTCTTTGTTAATACTGCTGTCATTCTGAGTGGCTTCTCCATGTTCCTTTCTGTCATCACCCTTCTCTTCCTTTTCACCCTTTCCTTTCTTAGCTGACCCTCTCTCTGAAGTCGGTTCATTTTGTCCACCTGACCTACTTTTATCTTCGGCACTACTTAATTTTAATTTTGTTGCACTATCTCCGCTATGTGAACCCTTCGTTTTCTTAGAGTCTACTCTGTCAACCATGTCTTTAATTAAATTATTGTCGATAGATTTGTCTTCGGTTTCACCAGTAGTGTTTTTTGCGGATTTCCCTTTAGATCCATCAGCAGTGTGAACTTCTTCCTTTGATTGATCTTTGAGATTCTTTACTGTGCCCTGTTTTAGTTTCTGATCAGCTAAGTCGTTTTTCATTTTCTTGCCACCAGCCTCATTGTTTTCACCTTCGCCATCATTAAAGATCTTGTTGTTAGGCGTGTGCTCCCTCTGTTTTGACTTCGACTTCGGAGATTGAGTATTATTGTCGACGTTCAAATGGGGTTCTCCCTTTTTAGAATCTTTATCATTATCATCTTCATCTCGGGATCCATTTTTTCTGGACTTTTTCGATTCAGTTTTGCCTGTTTGTTTCCCAGATTTTTTGGGATCTTTTCCATCTCCATCTTCTTCACTTTCCTTATCGTCATCTTTGCCCTCTTTCCGTGACTTTCCAGACGCTGTTAAATTTGCATCTCTTTTATCAGGAGCGTCTTTATTCGTTGCATCTCGGCTCTTATTGATTTGTGATTTCGTTTTTTCATTTTTAAGAGTATCTTTCTTGTGTTCGCCATCTTTTTCATCTTTTAAAGATTTTTTGGAGCCATCTTTATCTGTATTGGAATGTCCTTTATTATCATCCTTTCCGCCTCTACCTTTCTCTTTTCGTAATTTTTTGGATGTAAGACTTGCATCTGTATCTTGGCTGGGCTTGGCTTCACTTCTTCCTTCACCTAAGGAATGCTGGGTTTTTCCGTTGGATCCTTTCTTTGATTTCTTTAATCCCTTAATTTCTTTATCATTACTATCCCTATCTTTTAGTGATTTTTTTGAAGGACCCAAATCAGTTTTGTGTTTTAGCTTCCACTCATCAGTTCCTTCTCGCAGAAGATCCTTTCCGATTTTTCCTTCGCTATGTCTCTTTTTCCAGCCCAAATCCTTCAACGAACCTTAATTGCAATAAAAATTAAACAAGATATAGTATTCACGATATGTTTGAACGCTGATCGATGCGTGCTCGTAGATTTGTACTATTACCTCCATCGAAAACTGAATAAGTTTCCCGACACTGCTGGCGGCTATGGCTTTTAATTATCTTATGGCAGATCCTTTTCAGCAAAGAATAGGTATGATCATTCAAAAATGATGGCGCACAACAGCCATAACAGCGGCAAGGGCTACATCGACTGTGGCAGAATATTTTGCTTGAACTTGATGAACTATATAATATAATATAATATAAAAAAATAAAAAATATAATTGAGTAGTTCTAACAGAAAAGATATATCCCACCTCGATACTGGATCGCGGCAGATATTCTCTAGATCCATGATAATTTTATTATGCACATTTTTAGAAAATCTTAAATTTTGAATCTAAAATTATTGGTACATTTTTAAATCAGAAGTTTAACTCAAAGGTTTAAATATTAAATCATTACTTTTCAGTAGTGCTTTTTTTGTGTGATGCCCATGTTTATTTTTTAATCTATCAAACGAGTATTATTAAGATAATCCAACCAAAAACGAACTTACCCTAAATGCTTCCGGAGTATTATAGCAACCTTAGCAACGATCGATGAAGGACTTACAATGATTGAAATTTTTAGAAAATGTAGTGAGAACTAACTACGGTTATGACTGGGAATAGCAGGTAAAGACTGCTTGAATATTTGTGGAAAAACGTGCACCCATGTCAGTGACTTAATACCAGAAATCATTTGGTCGGGTGCCTCTAATAATGGTTGCCAAGCCTTTCAGGTGCAAACACTTCCATGTGTCTCTGACCGCAAACCCCGATTGCGACACAAAAGCAACATTTTGGTTTAAATGCATGGGTGCTCAACTCATCCGCCCACATAGCATGGCTGTTAGTAAGTGTTATTGTCGCTTCTGTGGCTGTGATAATTTTGTTAAGTAATTGAGTATGCAATATACAGTCGCATTAAACTTGCAGATACTTAATACACACAAAAATACTTAATATTGTCATGTGCAGGCCTCAGTTAAATAGTATATGTAGGTACTATGTATGAACATAGGTACATGAAAGTGACTATGTGGTGCCGGTACATACATATGTTTGTACTGTGCTCATTCGTTGTGGTAGAATGATTTCTTTCCTCACTTTTCATAAATACGTAAATAATCTGCACATCACAGCGCTTGCTTGACAAATTGTAAAATTGTAAAACAAATTGCATGATTTCTTTGACAGAGTATATAAATAGTAGAGATGGTCTCTCTGGAAACATTAGTTTGAAGCAGAGCTTGCAACAGGTTGAACAACAGTACCGAGTATCTTGGAATCGCTAAAGGATACTCTTCAACATCAATATGAATGTAAACTGTGCTATAATTATTCAGATCCTGTGTATGATGGTGTTACTAAGTAATACGAACGCCATACCCAAATATGAAGAAGGTCAAAAGTAAGTTACATTCTTTTTTACCATTATAGTAATCTTTAGTTTCTCTAGTTGCTGTGCTTTTAACCCAGAGATTAACATATTCATACTCTTCCAGATTCCATTCTGAAAAGGTTCAGCGAAATCGATCATACTACAATGAAAACAAAACACAATTGAACGAGCCGCAGACAGCTTCAACCAAAGATAGACTTGAACGGCTTGGATACACGACAGGCTACGGCTCTTTAAATGTACGTAAACAGAACCCCCTACTTTCTAAGCTTCGAAATGGCGAAAGCTTTGGGAAATATTCGACTTAATCACCACAGGTGGTATATTTTCATTTGTTTAACGAATACCTGAACATAATGGTAATTATTGCATAATAGTTTTGAGAATAGAAAGAAATCGGAAATGCTTGTGTTTCAAGACAAAGGATATTTTTATGTAATAACTATTTATACAAACTTAAAATCATGTTACTGTGAAATAACAGCTACCTTTCTTAATTAAAGGGATATCCTGGTAGCACAGGACTGTCTGCGTACAATCCCATTAAACTGGATCTTGGTGGCGTAGTTCTGGGCACGCTTGTAGGAATCGGTGCCATTATACTAATTCCCAAAATTCTGTCGGCGTTTCATGGTGGCTACGGAGGATATGGGCGAAGTAAGTTTACCATTTTTTGTATGCCAAAACAGATTCAGATTTAAGTTCTGACCCATTTTTCAACAGGTGAAGATAATGATCTTACGTCTCTCAGCACAATGATAAACAAAATAGACGATGTACTGAGTCAAAACAATATTGACTCTACCAGCTGCATGCAGCGCACAGTTTGCGGCTATGTTCGGTCTACTGAATACAACATGAAGGGTGGATCCTCGGACCAAATGGACGAATTTATTCATATGCTGTCAGAGTAAGTAAAAGCCAGGGGCTTACAAAATTGTATTAGTAACAAAATTAATTGAGATCTATTATTTTTTTCGTTAATGCGAATGCTTTGAAGTACATATTTGATATGCTTATAATCTTATAATTTCAGAAATGTATTGGTGGACTACCTTTTGGATGGGACGGCAATAAAAGAGGCATTGGAAGTTGGCAAGCGCGAAAACGATAAGCCATGCGAAGAAGTATACTCCAATTGCCCTTTGGACAGTAAATCCGCGTCAAATATTCTTCTGAAACTTCTTCCAAAGAAAAACCCACAAGGAAAGAGGGCATCCGCTACGATGTTCGGAGAAACGAAAGCTTAGCCAATTTCATTGGATGTCAGTTTTGTTACTTTTAGTGTGTTGCAGGATCCATTACAAAATATTATTCCATAAATAAAATAAACGTATTATTTCTGTTTTTATTTAATTTGTGTCATTCAATGCGATGCAGGTAAAAGATTGGAAAGGCAAGAAGCAAAAATTTATAATAAAACCATATGCAGGGCCTGCGTACTAATATTAGTGAACCTTAACATGTTTTTTAACTAGTAAGAATCAAACAAAAAATATTCCTCATTCAGGAGTCATATAACTAGATTCAGGAGTACGCAAAATTTGTTTTAATTGCTTCTCTTGTTGGTCAATGATTGGTAACCAATGTTCAGATGGGGGCTTGAAATTTATAGACTTGAATTTTTTAATTTGACCTAAATTTGTCAAAAGGCTTGATTGATGCAAACAATTGCCCCGCATAATCTGTTCAAGTTTATCTACTAAATGGTTTGACTCCTTTATTAAGTCATCGATGGACTGCAGCAGCGCATACCAATCAATTTTCATGGTTCCTATAACTGAATTGCCCCTCAAGTTAAAAGGAACCGGTTCGAAACTGCGCCACTGATTGTAAGGCTCTATAATGTAAGGTATAAAATGTCGATCAGATTCCATTTCAACTAGATCATCATCGAAATTCCACGAGTCTAGTGTAGGTGTTAGGTTTAGACCGCCACGGTTTTTGTCAACCGAATTTCTATGAAATTGGGACTCCTCGTCGGAATACAACTTTCGTAATCTCGTAATTGTGTCATCGAGACCCGTCTCTAAATTTGAAATATTCACATTTTCATCTTCATCACATTTGGGTAAGTATCTATTTATGAAGTCCTTCTTATATGCTTTGGGGAGAAGCGTTTGTGTATAACGAGAAACAGTAGCAACGCTTTCGGTCATTTGTGACATAGAATAGGTCAAAACATCTGAAAAGGTTCACAATTATTTTTGCAAACGCTTCTACAAAGTAGATTTTCTTACACTGCTGATAGCCATCCTTCTTCCTACTATATTGGCCATCGGTAAGAATCCCAATATCTTTGTACAAAATTAAATCATGTTGTGTATCCACGCTCGCTTCTTTCATAAGCTTAGTCGGCAAAAAATCCGTTTGAAGACCTACATTTGCTTTTCCAGCTCTTAATCGTCTAAAGTGGCAAAAACAATTGTGTAATCGATTACCATACAATGTGTGTATAAGAGTCATATTGATTACCTCGATGCATCAAGTAATTTAGCCCGAAGCAATGCACTCTTGTCAGGCTTTGTAAGCGTTGAGACGCTAACTGCGCGCCATGGTGGGCGTTTAGCTTCATTTTCCTTTTCCTTTTCTGCAGCCAGTTCCTTCATACGTTTCCAACTATTTTTGGCTCTATTTGTCAGACAATAATGTGAGTTTACTAAAGTAAATTATTTTTAAACAACGACAGCGCACCTTACCTACTTAATGATAGGCTGCGGTTGTTAGTTAGTAAAACTGTTTGATGGTCCTCTACACTTTGAGTCTCGCTAGTCTCCGAAGAAGTACCACTGTTATTGGAGCTATTATTTGACTTCGGCTTGTTCATGATACCGAATTTTCAATTTTTTTTTCAATTTTAAATGTGTAGTGGTGTAAGAACTTGGCCAAACGCTTTTACTAGCAGTCAATACATCGATGCATAAACAAATTAGTGCATCACTGTTGCCATGGTATCACTATCAAATAAATAAGTTAGAAACATGAAAATACGTATGATGTGCACAGTTCTGTACATATTTACGCTGGAGGTTCACAGTATCTCCTAGTACGAAAAAAAAAACCCTGCCGTCAAGAAATAATTCAAAGTTAACCAACTTTACCATTTGACATAAGTTTTATTTATTTGAAGTGAAACTTTTGAAAATAGGCAAACACTTTTTTACCTTTATCTCCTGTTGATAAAAGTAAAATAAGTAATACAAATTTGTATTCTATCGTGATATTTAGGATATATTCAATGATGATATTTAAAAAACGCAAACAAAATTAAGTACATCAATGCAATTTAATGCAACATTAATGCTAAAATTTGCGACTTTTTACCGGTACGACTTTGTCGACCTCGCCAGTGTGATGGTCCTCATGCAAGGGTATTCAATAATGTATGGGTTTTTTTTAACTTTGTGTTTAAAACTTTATTCCGTATATTTTTAGGAGCTACAATAAAATGCATTAAGTATGCGGAAGATGTCGCCGTTGTAATTTTCTAACTGCGGCCTACCAGCTTCATGGCCACATTTTGAAAATAGTTCATAGCTCTCCCTATGAAACCAATAGTTCTTTAATGTGTTCTTAGAACTAATGTTAAGAGTATTCAGCTGGAAAACTCCAAAATGAAAAGTCCTACCGTCGGTCTGAACACTTTGTACCACAATTGGTTTCAAAAGATCTCCATCTGCGGAGGGGCCATGCAAATGTTTGGCACGTGCTACAGCAACAACAAACGCTTTTAACATTGTTCGCGCATGAAATTGAGAAGTTGTGACCTCGGATCCATGAGTGTTTACCAAATTTGTGTCAAAGAAAGAAAAAACGGTGTGTGGATGAGAGCAGGTAGCTTCTGTCCGAAACGCTGAAAAGAGATATATTTTTTACTGAACTCATTATCATTCTAATTACTTACGATAGAAGTTTCCATTATTAACAACATGCTTTTTTGGTATTGAAATTGTACATTTCATTGGGTACAGATCAGGCAAATTTCCATTAAACTTCAATTTAACACTATCAATCGCACGATTAGAGCAAACTAATTTATTGGCATTGATCGCAAATCCGATCTGATCACTGTCTTTACACAAGGACGTTCTAAATGAAGCATTATCGAGCAGCTTACGGCGTACTGTGAGCGAATGTCCAGCCAATTTTTCAATTTCATATAATAGTTTGTTTACCAGCAGACGGCTAAAAATAAGGTCATATTATTATTCTTTGTCGTATTAATGAAGTGGTTTGTGACTGTTACTTGATTCTTTCGTGGGAAATTCCATAGCTGCGAGGTAAGTTAAAGGCAGGTCTTTCAATTAACTTGATCTTAGGCAACTTCACTTGTTCAGCGTCAAGCACGTGTGCAGACAATATAGCGTTTCGAATATTTCTATCAATACCGTTTGGCAACTTCTGGTTAGCAATAGCATCTTCGATTTTGGGAGGGTACTCTTTAACTTCTATTGTATTTGTCAATACTTGGGCTTGGGCTAATCCACCAATTAGCAGACTGTTGTCATCATAGGAATGGCAAGCAGCAGAAACCGAATTTGAATACGCATTCGCCTCGGAAATCGGTCCTTGTCCTGTTCCAATGAAATCTAACCTATTTTTCAATGAATCAAGAAAATAAATGCATTTGAATTTATAAACGCTGATACTCACATACGTCTCTCTACTTTCGGTTTCAATAAGTCATCAGGTGTCCTAACCGGTACTGCTAGCCTTAGCAACTCAGCGGCAGCGCCTGTTTCACGGGGCACACGCTTTCCCTGAACTAGCCAATGCTTCTTAAAGTGCCACCCAATGTGTTGAGCGCATAGTCGATTTGTAAGCCGCATTTTAAATAAGTTAGAACAGTATCTCTTACGAATAAAATGTAGAAAAACAGCAGGTTATGAAATAATGGTGTGACCGCGGATTTGTCAATTAAAAATACTGACAGATCCTCGGAAATACACCGAAATCTATATTGGCGAAAAATATACCGAAATATATTGAGGAAAACCACGAATTTAACCCACTTTGCCCCGCATTATTTGAAAAAAGGAAATGATACTTGACCTGAAAATGAAAATAATATTATCATGTGCAGAACATCAGCCTGTTGAGATATGCAAACTTTGGAGTCCAACAGTTAATTCGTATATTGATGTTGAAAGACGTGCGATTTTTTCTTCCTACAATAAGGATATGGGAGCAGTGGTTTTGGAAGTTATGCTCATGGTACATGGAAAACCACCGCTTCTAATCTTTCGGTTTTATTACTGGTGCCTGGGAACACCAATAAAAATTCTACTGTACAGAAAATAGTTAGACTCCCTTAGTCTATTCTATTATATTCACCTTGTACAGCTTCAATTGGAAGTTGCTCATACACTTCACCTTCTGCATCACAAGGAAACTGCATAGGTCTACCTTCGAATGTAGATAGGGGTAATAGCACTGTAACATCCCTTGCCTCCCCATTAAGTGTCAAAAAAGTACAGGGTAAATCTAAATTATCCAGATTCTAGAGTCTATACTGACCGCGTTACAATTGTGTGCGTTACAGTTTGTGTAACTCAGGAACTCCACTTTTAAATGTAAGATTCATCTTTGCGAGTACTTTTAAAGTATTAAAATTGTTTTTTTCCAGCCAATGGTGTGCTCGATGCACAATTTATTGTGTTGTGAGGATTGAGGTGCTACTGTACAACTTTTCTTAGAAGTATTTTTGAATAATTTAACAGGCGCACAAGTGTAAAAATATTATGTAAACTAACAAAAGGTACTCTCTAAACTTAGAAGACGACGCAACACAAGTTCGTTGCACACTTCGCACTGGAATACATCTTACGTCTAGTCATTGTTTCATATTTGTAAGAAGTTTAGCATATGGACTACGTGTTCATTATGATAGAAATTAACGCATGCGATACGTGTTAGATTCTTGAATTTCGGATAGCTCGCCCTTAAAGTTTATGTCAATAACAAAGTCCAAATCCCGATTGTTTCGATCGTTCGGTTTCATTTGGAACGTGCCCGTTATTTCTTCATTTTTCTTTGCTGTCATATGATCATCTAGATAAAAAACAGTTTGCTTCCAATGAGTGTAGGTGGAATCTGGCGAGGTGCTAAAGCCTAGACGCTTATGGCACTTGGTAAATTCGATGTTAAAATATGTGACTAATGCTTGCACAAAGTCATTTCGTTTGATTGTTAAATTAAACTTGGACGAAAAGTTCAGATCTGCCTTCTGCACCGTATACAGGTCCACTTCTTTAACCAAACAGGCTGTGGAGACCACTTGCTTAGGGTCAACGATATCCACTAGTGGTTCAGTCACAGCAACTTTGCGAATGCAGCTCATATCAAAGCCGTAAACATCGTCCCACCAGTTTATCTTCTCGTCCTTGTACTGACGATCTTCGATAGCAGTAATGTAAAGGGTGCCTCTGTCAGGGAACATCATCCCATTGGGCTTCAGCCACTTGTCTCGCGCATACAATACTGTGTCAAGCATAGACTCATAAAAAAGGCAGTATCTGAAACAAACGTAATTTTAACATTATTATACGCCGATGGAAAGGAGGAATGTGGAACATACCCCATCCATTCAGAGATTATGATGTCTACGCCTTGAATACCATTTGGCAACTCGATCTCTTCGATTTTTCCCTTAACGACCTTTATAATGTCCTGCAAATTATTGTCTATGACAACTTGTCGTGCGAACTCTATGATATTTGAACAATCTACGGCTATAACCTGGGCAGCCCCTGCTTTTGCAGCAAACATTGAAAGTATGCCGGTGCCACATCCAACATCTAATACAATCTGCAAACAATTTAAAACAAGAATTGAACAAGATTTCATTTGATTGATTCTTTTACAAATCTTACTTTGCCTTGGAAAAGATGCTTATTGTGATACATAGCGTTACGGTATGTCACGGTGCGCACTTCGTCCTTAAGCATTTCTTCGTGAATGCCAAAGTGGGCGTACGAGTCAAAATAATAGTCTCTCGACGTCATTTCATCAGCATGGGCATTGGATTCATCCGGAGATGCTTCGGCCCCAGCTCCGCTTTGGGACAACTTTTTAAGCACATTGTTTGAGTTAGGTGTGAGGCCGGTTGCATTTTCGATGGCCGATTCCATGGGTATATCTGTGGTGGACTGGGGAAGGTCGCTGATTATATTTATTTTGATGGAACAAATCTACACATATACAACGTACCATTTTACTTTTATTCTTTACTTTTTTACTTTTTTGGTCGAAAACTACGCACGCTGCTTTATAAATTAATTTTACAGCACTGTGTCTAGCAGTGTGACCGCGAAATTATCGATAAAATATAACGTCAGGGCCTCGAAAAAATACCGAAATATACCGTTGAAATAAAATGTATTTATTTAAGCCTAGTATTTAGATCGGAAAACACGTTTGATAGCAAACAGAGCAATATATTTTTCTAGCGGCAGAGTGTGACCAAAGAACGAAACCAGGACGATCGTTTGTCTATACATGTGAGTATTATAAATCATATAAATATGTGTAAATGTTTGGAAACCATCTAACAATCTCTTTGCACATTCCGCACTTTGAGAGTATGACTCAAAGGTACCATCAGTAATCTTTGAGAATTTGCATATTTCTGGGGATAACATCTGCAGCCTCCTTTGATTGGTGGAGCAGCAAGGCCGTGCCAAGAAATATTTGCGCCCATGGCCCAAGCAGCCAATATAATAGTTTCGAGTCCAATTCGTCGCCTTAGCCCCGAGAACGACCCAGTGAGGAAGTGTTTGTTCTCAAAAGGAAAACATCAAAACATTTGGTTAACAGCCCAGCCGGGTCTGTGTCTTGGCAACATGAAGCAACTGGCGTTCAAATTAGTTAGACAAATTAAAAATGCTAATAAATTCAATATAATCTCATTAATCTGTAATAATTGTTTCCTTTTTTTGCCGTTTGATGACTTCAAGCTCATTGAGAAGCACGGTTATCTTTCAACTTC